CAATTTGGTCGATAGAATTCGTGATATAGGCCATGGCCCATTACCTGACGCCAAACGCTAGCGACCCAAACGGGCACTGCTCCGAGAGTACGCGTCGTAGCGCCCACCCGCCTTTCGCGATACACAGCAGCAGACGCCGGTAGGCCGGCGGAGAGGGGGGGGAGACTCTCTGAGTCTGCAGAGGGATACCTTACCACGGGGTCTCTCGGCCGGCGAGGTTAACGCGGAATGGAAAGCTCGCCGTTCGAGAAAGAATATCCACCTCATCCCCAACCTCAACACAATGCGCAACGCGGTCCGGGTGCATGCAACAGTACAGCGTGCTCTCCGCATCGGAAGGGTCTCCGAGAGTTCTTTTTTCCTCCATCTTCTTTTCCCTTAATTGCTTGACTCGCTCCATAGCCCGCCCTCGTGGCCAGCTACCCAGGAGAGCTAGATCTAGGGGTCCGACCGCTATGTCAGAGGTCTAGCGCAAAGTAACCTCAAGGCCAACGTCTAACCGCTTAGCTAGCTCCCAGCCCCATTGCTTGAGCCCGTCGTACAGGCGTAGTACTACAGTACAGTACACCGCTTTTGTGTGACAGAGGATAGCCCTTCTTTGTCTTCGGTAGAGGGGCAGCGGATGGTGGAGATAATTCCACGAATAAGAGCCAACCCCCCTTCTAAAAGATTTCGTCTAATATTTTACTACCTACGTGCAGGCTTACCTGAAGGGAATGGGGGGCAGCAAGGCTACTCCATAAAACACACAAACGGTCTCCGGTTGCGGCGGCTGCTTAACGACGGCGCAGCATGTTTGCAATTCCGCGCGCCCGGGAGTCCAGCGCTGGCTTCTACGAAGGTGCCTTATGTCAGTGTTCGGGGCTCACAAGCTACGGGCGGCATCAGCCGCTAAGCACAATCCTATTGTCGCGCGACTTGCAGCCGTTACGCGCCTTCGCCAATCGCGATCCCGGTGCCTGCCGTAAAAGGAAGGCGAACTACAGGCGCTGGTCAGCCACACTTACGGCGGAATCATGCTTGCAGTGGGCAGAAACCAGAAATACAAGCTCACTGGTTGGTCATGGGGCCACCGAGCCCTCGTATATCCTCCGTGGGTAAGACTGTAGGTACATTCATCCACATCCTTCGAGGCCGCGGATTGCTCGGGGATCGCGGAACCAGGACAGAAGTCGCGGGCGGTATTTTTCTCGGACAATTCCTACGTACCCAGGTCGCTGTTGCGTACGCTGCCGACAGCCTAAGACGCCAAAATTCAGTTGCTGTGCCCCCAGGAACGACGCCGCATCAGCTCGTGAATGAAGTTCAGGTACAGTACCTACCTGATGGCAGATAGCCTTTCGCAGAGAAGACTCGATTTCGCGGTGCCGCTCCGGTGCGCCCGGGCGCCCGCCACAGCAACGCCCGCGCACTGCTGTCTCGTCCCAAGATATGCTACACAGGTACAGTACTTACCTGTCATGGTCAACCTAAGAGTTCCCAGAGCAGAACGCTAAAGTTGGGCAATTTCAAGGGCGCTTCCGCATTCGCTCAAGCTCTAGGTTACCCCGTACTTTGTAGAGCCTCCATTTCCTGCTCCGGGGTTGGGGTAATACACAGAGAAGCCCAGACTGCTAGGGGCTGGGCAGGGGGTCGTCGTCACGGCGAGATTGCTCCCCAAGCGACAACAACTACCTCTTGGTGCCTACCATGCAACCGTGAGTAAATGCCGGCACAGGGTCTTAGCCACTAGTTGTAAACCTTTCTGTTGAGCCCGCGTCACCCTCCGGCACGCTAACTACAATGCGTCCACCGGTTTTCTCTCTCTCCCCCTCATTCCCTTTTCCTTACGAAATACTGGTTGCTATTCTTCCTTTACGGCTGGCCGGGAGATCCAGCCCGCCAGCCACCACACCGATGCAACCCCCTCATTGCCAGGGCCATGACGGCACTAAGAGAGCTCACATGGCCCAGCCCTCCACCCGCCCGCCCAGGCTCCCCGAGCTTTGTGACCGCCGCCTCCGCCATCCTATAGGACACCATGTGTAACCGCGCACGCATCATGACAGCCCTTTCGGGGCGTGTAGCACCGTGCTGCTGACTTGGGATCATCCGCTGGCCGGATCGAATCATTCTTCCGACCAAACCCTGCACGCGCCTTTTTTTTTCCCTCTTTTTTTTTTTCCTGCCCAAAGGCGGACAGCCTCGAGGGGCGGGCTGACTTCCTCCTCCACCCCACCAGAGCTCCGGGGTCCCTAGACTGAGAGCTTAGAATGGGATGCCCTTGCCCTGCCGCATTCCAGGGTCGGGGCCCTAAGCGTTGGGTCCATTCTACAGAGGTCAGTTATACCCGGAGGTCTAGCAGGGCGTAGCGCATTTTACCTTCCGGGCCTGCGACTTGCCGAAGGTCCACACCAGCAGCAGGCGAAGAAGGGCTTTTCTTTCTCCTACCGCAAAAGGAGGCTCTAATTTCACAAGGCCACGTTTTGGCATGGGACATCGCGCGTAGAGCGGAGGCGAGCGGGAGGGGCGCAGGCCTTTGTTGCTGCTGGATCCCTAGCGCTTCCTCTCTCCCTGCACACCGGCCCAACAAGACGTCGTGCCTGGCGCTGACCTGGCTGGACCCTCCCACGACCATCCTTACACTTCCTAACTTGCTTGCGAGCCAATGCTAGCTCGCGGCGACGTCGGGCACCATGTCAGATCTCGGCTGGTGGCCCCGAAGTGCGTGCATAGCACGATCTAGGAATGTTGGGGTGCTGATCCATCACCAGGACATGGCTTGCGCTATGCCTAGTGGCTAGGCTTTTGAAGAGGGGGGGCGGTAAGCGGTACAGAGAGAGAAAGAGAGAGAGAGAGGTCTATAATACACGAAGCTCGCCTCCGAGCCTAGTCACCCGCGATGCTCGTCTGCTCAAGCCACCCTGCCCTCTCCCCGTCCGGTTCGCCGCTCGTCTGTCTTCTTGTCGTGTCTTGTACCCCGTGTTAGCCCTCGCAAGCTTTCCGTGTCCAGAGCACCTCGCCTACGGTCAAGTCGACGTGTTACTTAACCGCCAACATGAGGCTCTCATCACTCTTGGTCCTTTCCGCCGGCGCCGCCGCGTCGCCCGTTCTGCGCAAACGAGGTATGCTACTCCTTATAACCCAGTACAAGTCCGTCGGCTAATGAGACCTCAGCCGCGGTTACGACGGCCCAGCTGACGAGTCTGAAGCTCTACGCTGAGTACTCGGCGGCATCGTACTGCAACAGTGCCGTCAGCGTTGGCACAACTATCACTTGTGCGGAATCGACATGCCCAACTGTCCAGTCCCACGGCTCCAAGGTCCTTGCAACATTTGAGTAAGTCATCTATCTACAGAGTATGCCATGTCAACCAGGACAGTTCATGTGCTGACCATGGGACACAGCGGACTCGCTACGGACCAGCAAGGATACGTCACAGTCGACACCGTCACCTCTCAAATTATTGTCTCCTTCAAGGGCAGCCACTCAGTGCGCAACTGGATCACAAAGTAAGCCATGGGCCCGCCGCTGGGACACACCCAACATCCGAGCCATATCTCTAACGCCATGTGTAGCCTGGAGTTTTTGTTCACCGACTGTGACTTTGTGTCGGACTGCAAGGTTCACACTGGCTTCGCCAACGCCTGGACCGAGGTTGAGAGCGCCGTCCTAGCGGCCGTCAAGTCCGCCACCGCTGCCCACCCTACCTTCAAGGTCATTACCACTGGACACTCACTCGGGGGTGCTGTGGCCACCCTCGGCGGCGCGTACCTCCGCAAGGCCGGCTACTCGGTCGACATCTATACATTCGGCTCGCCCCGTGTCGGCAACGACGCGTTCGCCGACTTCGTGACCGCCCAGGCCGGCGCCGAGAACCGCGTCACGCACCTGAACGACTTGGTGCCGCGCCTCCCTCCTCTGGTCTTCGGCTACCGCCACACCTCGCCGGAGTACTGGCTCTCGGACGGGACGGCCACTACGACGAGCTACGGCGTGGACGACATCAAGGTCTGCACGGGCAACGCGAACACGGGTTGCAATGGCAGCAATCTGCTGTTCGACGTCACGGCCCATCTCTACTACTTCGAGGAGATCGCCGGCTGCGGCTCGGATGACTTTAGCCTAAAGCGTGCCACCGACACCGTCACCACCATGGATGACGACACCGTTAGCCGGCTTAACGACTGGGCGGAGCAAGACAGGCAATACGCGGCTGAGCTGGCCCAGAACAGCACTTTGGCATCGTGAACGGCTGGGCTAGGGGTCAATCAGGGTTGGATTTGAGTTTGGCTTCAATTTGGGTTCAGCGGGCGTCTCGGGTGAGGGAGTTGGGCAATGCATTATCGGTAGCGACGAGTCATGACCCTTGAGGACAGCGAGGCCGAGCAAGCCTTCGCCTTGTATATACGCTACACTGCCTGTCTCTATGGGTCAGAAAAAAAAGGAGCATAGTTATGGATGGATGGATGCCTAAAATACATACCAGAACCTCCACCTCGATAACTCAACCCGACGATGTACTTGCTAAACCTGGCGATTGTTCGCTTGACGGTACCTATCTATTGGCTGACCGACTTCTCAATGGCTCCGAGTGGGTCCTTGCACGGGCCGGACCCCGGGTCGGGCTTGACCCAGCGCTGGGTCCATGCAGGGCCGGGGTGAGGATTCCGGCCGGATGCCCCTCAGTTTGAGTGGGAAAGCTTAGCAAAGACCGGCATGGCGGGCTTGCTTCTAGCACTCTTACTATGTTCAATGAGTCGGGAGTAGGGGTCCAAAAATAGGGTATTTAGTCCTGTCTTCACGATTTAGTCACTAGATGTCGGGTACTATAGAGACAGCTAGGAGTCCACGGGTAACGGTATGAGAGTGACGTCAAGGCAGCATATTCCGGCAAGAGAATTCTCCAGTCTCCGTTCGTATGTGTAAACAGCGTATGAAGATATCGAGCCATTGTTCTTCGTATAAAAAGAAATCATTCCGGGCTAGAGAGGGTGAAAAAAATTAGGTATGAAGGCCTCTCCCCAGCCGAGAGTCGAACTCGGCGCACCGGATTGAGAATCCGGGATGTTAACCGATACACCACTGGGGACGTTCTATTGTGCTTGTTTGTCTTGCCTTTTCGCCTTTCCATGGGATTTCGCCACGATCATTTTGCTGGGTTTGCTTCAAGGGCTCACAAGCCTGCCTTCAGGCAACAACTCTAGTACTCATGAACTGAGAAAACACTCAATGCCGGCTACCGCGTCAACCTTCCTCGTGAGATCATATCTTGCGGGAAGGGAGGAAGCCGATGCTTCTCATGCTGGGGTTCGTGCTGGCTAGGAAAGGAAGATGAACAACGCCTACCTACCTAGGTGGCTATGAAGTGACCTGACCGAGTTTCTCGGGCCTACGAGGCTCACCGCAATATCAACCGTACGGTAGCAATAACCCTGTAGTTCCTGTACCATGCGCCACAGCACTGGGCTCATTTTCTTGTGGCCGACAAGCGAAACCGCTACCTACTATCCCCTCCTTGACAAAAAGCCTAACAAGCCTAACAAGCCTAACAAGCCTAATAAGCCTAATAAGCCTAATAAGCCTAACCGAGAGCTGTGCCATCGTCCAGGAACTTAGCGAATTCGATTCTCTTCTCCCGTGATTTCTTTGGATGGGGAATGGGCCCAAAGGAATACCATGGTGCTCTTCAAGCAGCACAACAAGCCCCGAAATTTACAGCCCGACGCTGGGCTACCACCCGTACGGCTTACCGGAACCACTTCACCTTACGTACTCGTAAGTGTGTGGCGAAAGGAACGGCCGGATGTTCCGCTTGAAGGGACACCGGATCAGCAAGGAGCGACAGTTGCTTGGCTATGGTGAAGTAGTGAAACAATCTCGCGCTGGATCTAGCAACTCTCATTGTCCTATCTGCCTCGGGGTTGCTCATCTTTGTGAAACCGTGCTACGAAAACCATCAGACAAACGTTCCACGTGCTCACCGGAGACGCCTGGTGGAAGTAACCGCTAGTATCGACTGAATGGCCATCAACACTACGATGGGCTATTGCGATCACCGATCGTTGTACAGGTACAGAATTATCCGGTGTGCTATCTGGGTCTAGACCCTCTCAGACCTAGTGGTGGCCCACGGCCTAGCTCGCGCCAATCGGTCGCTAGACACTTCCGTGCGGGAACTTGTAGTGGGATCTGTTTAGACCCCTGATCTACAAACGGGACACTTGGGGCCTCTAGGCTAAGCTGGTATAACTAATGGGCTGCTACAATACGGATTTAGCCCGGTAGGTCGTGCTCAAGGTGTACCTGGTCAAGCTCCTTCTCCTCTAAACGGCTGCCGGGTGGGATTGGCACTTGGAGTTTCGCCAGGCAGAAATAAGCAGGAAAGTCTTATCAGAGCGGGCGCCTATAGTCGGCTCTTTCATCGATCCTACGGAGAGCCCGGTGGGCATCTTTCTCCTTTCTCGGGTCTATGGATGGAAGCCGATGCCCGCCGACAGTGCCAAGCTTCATCCGCGGCCTCTGCCTGACGCTTTCGAGCCCATGTGACAGATTTGCTCCACGCTAGGGTGTTGAGGATCGAGATCGATTTCGATTGGTGAGCTTGAGCTAGTGATGCATTCGGTAGAAGCGGACCGCGCGCCAAAGTTGCACTTTTGCCTGCAGAGCCTCCTCGGCTGCCGTCGTCAAAGAAACGGTCGGATCAGAAGCTCCGCGAGCTTCGAGGCGGGCATTGTGTGGGCAAAAGAGGGCGGCATTTCATCACCGATCTCTATTTCCAGTGTGTGTGGCGGCGATCGCGCGGGGAGTAGGGAAGGTAAGAGGGCCAACGGAGAGCCATGGGAGACTGTCAACAGAGAAGGCAGCCACCACCGCCACGATGATGACATAGATGTGGGATGTCTCGTGGGATATCTTGTTGAGTCTGGGGTCGCTGGTGGGGCCGATGCCTGTACATGACGATTTCCAGGCGCAAATTGGCCGCTCTAGATTTCTTTACTCTCCACAGTCCCTGAGTGATGATGAAGCAAGGAGCTTCCTTCCACGTTGCCGCCACTTCGAGACCCTCCAAGAAGTCATGTCGTCATTGATACATCGGCGATCGGATGCAGCCAATCAAAGGGCGGGGGGCCAACGCTTGTAGCTTGCAGCACTGACAGGGATTTTAATGGGTCCCGGGAAGTTGGGCCAAGCCTTTCCATTCCGGGACCACCACATCTTCAATGGACTCAATATTCAACCGCTCGAGCGAGGCGCGTGACGGCACACAGGATGTCGTACCGCAACGGCACTTGGAAGGGAGGGCGCGGGACTGACGGGAATGCCTTGTGAGCTGCTCGCCGCGTAAGCCTGGTAACCAGCGTGTTTTGACAAGCGACTGGCGTTGCAGGCGAGCTCTCACGGTCCCCAGCTTTGGCTCCCGTTTGTGCGATTCCGAGCCCAAAGCCATTGCTATTCAGGGGAAGGCTAGACAGAACCCGTCTTCAAGTCATTAGTCTCCTTGTCTAGCAATGTGGCCCCCCTCGTGGCGGCTTCGTCAGCCTTCTTCCATTTTCGTTACGTTTGTTTGCTGTTGAGCGGCTTGTGCGTTTCATTAGACGGCCATTGACGTCATGACTTTGGTACCGGCGAGCGGGAAACGCACGCCTCCGGACCACCGCGCTAGGAGCCCCCCGTATCAGCCCGATAACCCCCCCTTTGCCATGCGCCCTGTAGGTTCGAGGTCTAAGTCAGCCTCAGCGTAGCAGCTCAAGTGCTTGCATGCAGAAAGAACAGCTTGTTCGGACGGCCCAATCACATGTGGCACTGTGTCTCCCGGACCAAACCCTCCATGACGTAACTCTCCATTCACATGATGGCGGATGGCTAGCACCTCCCCACAGGCACAGCTCCAATCTAAGGCAGCTCGCAGAAATGGAAACACCTGTGAAGCGCTTGCCCGAGAGGAGCACGCACTTACTCACATGGGGGGCAAGAGCGGCCGAAATCTGGCTATAAATCTCGCTGCTCTCCTCCCCCAAACCTCGTTTACTTCTTTCCATCATCATCAAGCAATCTTCACTCAACTACCACATCACAACAACCACACTTCAACTTTCAGACTTCCAGTCAACCCAAATCAATCACCATGGATACCGTCAAGAACGCCGCCAACTACGTCTCTGACAAGGTTCAGGGTAAGCCTTCGCCTCCCTTTCACATTCGCTGGCCATTGTGATCATCACGATCTCGAAACCATCCCTCACCCAGGCGACGTTCACTAGGTGCTAACTCGGCCTACAGGCGCTGCCAGCTCTGTCTCCAAGGAGACCAACAAGGAGGTTGCCAAGGACAGCAACGCCCCCATTGGCACTCGGTAAGCCATCCACATACTCTACATGCTGTCCTACTCATCAAAACCAACTCGCTAATTTTATTGCAGTGTCAACGCCGCCGGCGATGCTATCTCGGACAAGTTCGACGAGCACAAGCACGATGCTTCTGCCGAGCTCAACAAGCAGAAGGCCACTCACTAAAGCGTCTTGGGAAGATCCGTGGCCCACTATGGCATGAAGAACCCGCGGCATGCATGTTCGGGCAACACAGGGATGAAATAGTTCTTTTTGGTGGAAGGCGTTGTGAACACTATGAACACGGTACCTGAGATTCGGAGGAGTGCTCAACAATACCCCTAAGATCACACACCTTTCGCAGAACTAGACCAATCAAGAAGCAAATTTGGCCATAAACCCGTTTCCTTTCTCCGCCAACGTATGAGCTCTGTGATTTGTGATGATCTGATTATCCATCCACGAGATGTTGTTGAGCTTAATTGGGAAAGTAGCAGAAGCTCCGACCGCCATTATAGCTTGAGCACGGACCCCTGTTTGAAGCTTGAGCTTTCTCTCAACTCTCCCCGCATTTGACGGTTTGTACAAAAACCAGTCGTGAAAAGCACTTCGTCCCCTGTCTGTAGAGTGGATTGATCTGGAAGAGAAAAAGTGAAGACTTGGAAGGGAATGCTCAGCGATCATCGTTATTTCCACCCGTTATTCCACCCGCTTGCATATAATTGAACATGTCCACGTCGACCCTTCCGCCCGATCTGTTCGACCAGACGACGCTGGTGTCGCTCGCCTCGACTCTGGCCATTCTGTTCGTCGCCTACACAGCATCGCAGCGCGTCCTTGACCGCGCGACGCCGGGCAGCCTGCGAACGCTGTTCATCTGGCACGCATTCGACGCGCTGATCCACTTCTTCCTCGAAGGAAGCTTCCTGTACCACTGCTTCTTCTCCAGCCTCAACATTGGCCAGCTCCAGGACGCGTCCAAATACTACCCAGATCCGCACAACTATCTTGGGTATACCGACCGCATCCATGGGTCACAGGCCGCCGGGAGCAATCCCTTTGCCCAGCTGTGGATGGTGTATGCGCGTGCGGACAAGCGCTGGGGCGGTGTGGACCTGGTATGTTATCTCAGGAGCTGTCACGGAGGTGGACGAATGGCTTCAAAGCGCCGACATCGCCATGCATAAAGAAATTAGGCTGACCTGGTGGACGACGTATAGGGGGTTGTAAGTCTGGAACTGCTTACGGTGCTAGTCGTCGGCCCCCTGGCGTGCTTTGTGTGCTACGATATCGCCAAGAAGAACCCCCGGGCTAATATCACCATGATCGTGATCGCAACCGCCGAGCTGTATGGAGGTATGTCAACCAAGAATGTGCCTTCTCGACCTGCCTTTAGATAGCACTAACACCGCCCTTCAGGTTTTATGACTTTTTGCCCCGAGTGGTTAACCGAAAACATCAACCTTGACGGCAGCAACTTCATGTACCTCTGGGTCTATCTTGTCTTCTTCAACATGCTATGGGTCTTCATTCCCATTTACGCCATCTACGTTGCCTCCGCCGATATATTCAATGCCTTCGAAGTCCGGACAAAGACTCTGGCGAGCAAGAAGAAAAACTAAAGACGACACCGAGCGGATCGTGCTCTGGAGCGCATATACCACAGACTCGGTTGCAGCCGGCTGTGCTTCGTGCCCCTTGGCGCTACATCTGAGGTCATTTAGGGTATTTGGAACCGGCAGTTCCTAAGCTAAGAGCAATG